AGGTGTGGATTATAGTTTGAACAGTTCACATGGGACAGTAATCAAGACATGAGGAAATAAATATTCCTAAAAGAAGAAGATATTGGACAGTCTTATTTTGAATGCTTACGCTCAGGAGCAAAGCCGGCAAGCGCGTCAATTAATAGGCTAGATTAGCCCGTCTATGTAGCCCCTCAGTGGCTTTAAGTTTTAGGCTTAGCTGCTATAAGTAAGTTTAAACATATACTAAACAAAGATACTCATCACATCTGGGTTGTTTCCATTGACCTTTGTCCACAGTTTTAGCGTCTGCTGCTGAAATTCAGCCATTCAAAAAATAGAACATTTTCAAACATACTGTATAATATTTTTTTAAATAAATATGGTTATAACTTATTAGTTTTACATGTTCTTAGGGGGGCAGCAGTTACTTCATTTTATAAAATAATAAATGCCCCCTCCTGATGTTGTACCAACCTTCATATGAAACAGACTTCAGTTGATGGGAGGTCAAACATCTGTCACCAAGAGTACAAAGATCTACGGCTACACACTCTGTCTTTTAACTGGGTAACCAAAAGCAGAATATCCAACAGTCTAAAAACACTCTGGTTACAACAGCTAGAGTTTGAACAAATAATGGGGACGATATATCTATAAATATTTGGGGCGGCTGTGGTTCAGTTGGTAGAGTTGGTCGTCTCTCGGGAAGGTTTGGGGTTCGATCCCCAGCTCCTGCAGCCACATGTCCCATGTGTCCTTGAGCAAGACACTTAACCCCAAGTTGCTCCTGCTGCTTCATCTGCTGTGTATGTATGGATTAGTAACTTCTGATGGTCTCTTTACTCAGCAGTCTCTACCATCAGTGTGTGAATGTGTAGGTGTGACCTGCAGAGTAAAAGAGCTTTGAGGAGTCAGAAGACTAGAAAAGAAATATAAAAGCTCAAGTCCATTTACCATCTCAACAATTCAATGTTTTTATCCACAAACAACAAACACGAGCTTGTTAACTGGCACCTTGTAGACGGCACAGTAGTTATTTGCAGTGTGTTAGGCAGTCATTGATGTCAGCTCTAGGAGAGAGGAGCCCTGCCTGCTGCTCTGTTTTCACTTGTGATTTTAATTAATTGCCTTAGATGCTACCTCGTATGGATTGGTCGTGGTTAACCAAGACTAATACCATGTAGCTGTTCCGCTGGGGGGCACACACCATCAGACCCCCCTGTTTGTTTTTCTAAATAAACACATCCCTACACATATTCAGACGGAGGAGAAAGAGGAAAGCCCAGCTTGGAGCACTCATAACACGGTGGCTCAGACGTAAAGAGATGAAATTGCTGGACGTGGCCTATAATTGGTCTTATCTGTTAAATTAGATTCTGACCCCTTTGTAATATTTCTACCAGAGAAGGTTAAGAGCGAGAGCTGAGCAGAGAACTTGAGCCCCGCAGGGGAGGAGAGCGGACAGATATCAGATTCTTTGCTCAAATTGAACTGGAGCCCCCAAAGGCTGAAAAAGTGCAACAGCATAGTACTATAGCCACACATATTTAAATGATTGACTTTAAAAAGATGTGCATATTCAAACAGAGGTTAAAGCAAAACCATTTTACCAACACTCATGTGAGCGTCTGCTAAATGGAAATGTATCATCGCCTGTTTGAGTTTTAAGATTGGTCACTCTGGACACCGTTACTTGCAGCAGGTGTTCAGGGTTTTGGACAGTCATGATATGAAAGACCTTCATTCATGGTTGAGTAGGTTTGTCAATCTTACACTAACAACACTCACATGTTGGATGAAAGAGTAATCCATCACTGTGATTATTTCTCCTTTGGATACTGGCCAAGTAGAGAAAACAAAGGGGGGATAATATCCAGAGGACTCTGTCAAGACATGTTTGGTGAGGTTTACATAATCCTGTTTTGATCCATCTTAGAGTGAAGTAGCATCTCAAACTTCTGCTAGTTCCATAGTTTTTGCAACTTCAAGTGAATGCTTCTCTCTTCTGTGCAACACATTTAATGTTTCTTTACAACATAATACAGCTAAATAAATACAGCGATATGAATCTCAGGACAAGTCGTCCATCTTTACTGTAACAGTGCATGCTGTGTAAAAGAGGATGAAAACATTTATGCAGCATGTAATGGTTTTGACCTGACAGCAAGAAAAAGTATTCTTGTGTGGTAAAATGTAATTTAAGAGTAAAAAAACATAGCTGCAAGCCACTGTGGTAGCAATTTCAGCTGCAAAGTCCGTGGAAACGCAGCTTCTCCTACGTCCTCCTGTTAGCTGTAGCATTAGCTGCATGTAACGCTCAGTTCTAGCCCCCCTCGAAAAAAATCTGTCAGTGTGATATCACTGATCTAAGCCCATTGGCTCGTTGTGGCAAGCCCTGCAGCTCATGTTGCCGCCCGTTAACTTCTGTAACACGCCCACGATATGCCGTAGCCTGCGGTAGCACAGTAGTGCTAAGGTGCTAATGTTTATGTTCCCCTCGGACGGAGCCGACCAATCAGATCAGACTTGGCACACGTGGGGACTCTGAACGTGGGCACTTCAGAGCCTTAGAGAGAGAGTCAGAAGAGAGCAGGTGCATGGAGCGGCAGTACATGAAAACAGACACTTTTTTCGAACTTTAGCTATTGTGAACATACTTTAGTAGGTACATAGATTAAATATATGAACCCCAAAAAGGGCAGAATATGACCTCTTTAACACACCTCACACCACAGGAACATCTTGGGAAGCATCTGATAAATGGGCCTTTGCTGACTTTGGTCTGAAGGGTGAATCAGGCCAGAAACTCGTCTGATTACCTCGTGGTGTGTACCCCGCTTTAGCTGTGTCTTACAGAATAAGCCATTTTACAGAACATCAGTGATCTCATTGTTGAAAGGTATCAGTCAGAAGAAGATATGAAAGAATTACCATGTAATACAGTGAAGACAATCATTCTGAAAGGTCTGTTTTTTGGGCAAAAACAACACATCAGTTCATCTTCCTGAATGACAACAAAACAAAGGCTTCACCAGAATGAGAGTGAAGTTTTAGAAAGGCCCTGCCAGAGCCCAGACCTGAATCCTCTTGGAAATCTGTGGGGTGACCTGAAGAAGGCTGAGCACAGGAAATGCCTTCTCAGTCTCTGCGATTTAGAGAGCTTTTGCAAGAAAGAGAAGTCAAATTTTGAGTTTAGATCTCCCACCCAACAAGACTGAATGCTGTAATAAAATCAAAAGGTGCTTCAACAAAGCCTTAGATAAAGTCTGTGCATTAGATTGAAGACAGGAGAAACTGATGCTTGTCCCCTCCCAACCCATTAATGAAATCCAGGAAGTGCTCTCAGGTGCTGCATCTTTTCTTCAATAAACCTGAATAGTAGTTACTGGAAAGTACATATGGATCCAAGAAGCAAAGGAAAATATATAGGATAATTCATCACCCCATTTGGTTTGTTCCACTTCAATGCAAAAAAACAAAAAAAAAAACATTTGAAATTGATGAAATAAAAGCTCAAATTAAAGATGTCAGATAAATGTTTCAGTGAAGCTACATAGAAAGGGGCTTAAAGAGAAGTCAATCCAAAGGTGTGTGTGCTTCTTTGTCAGATGAGTGTGACAGCCATAGAAAAGCCCCTCCCCCTCCTCAGGTGTGGATAAAAAAGCTAAACGATCAGATGAGTCAACATTTCTGACATTTGAAAAAAGGATGACAGTTTTCCTGAGTGATCACTTTTAGTCTTTGATAAAACATCTCTATCCTCAATGTTCCTGTAGCATCAAAACATTGGGCCTCATTTTACCAACATCTTCTCAAGAAATGTTCACCAACGTGTTTTTAAACGGCTGAATTGTTTACAGCTGTGTTCTTATTTCCTTGTGTTCTCTAGTTAGAAGCATCCTAATTAGCATAGTTAACCCTGCAGAAAGAGAAACATCATGCAGCTGGTAGCCACAAAGATTAGGTTGTGTAGATGCCTGACTGTACGCTGAAAACAGTTGTGAAGTGGAGGAACTCCTGCAGGAAACAAGCTGTTTTATTTATCAGTGCTACATGAGAACAAAGATAATTTATGTGAACTGAAGTGTGTATCTTGTGTATTTAAAAGACCGCTCAGATTTGTATGATCATAAATATATGTATTACATATTTTATTAATTTTGGAACAGAATATTGTAATGTAAACCCTTTAATATTGTACAATTGTAGATTTAAATGAAATGAGATAACCAGTAATTTTGCCTGAGCTGTAAGAGTGTCCGTAAAGAACAAATCCCAACATCAGACAAAGTTGAATCTTGTTAAAAGGTTTGTAAGTAGGATTTAAGAACACATTTGTTCTTAAGAGCGATTGGTGGACGAGGCTCAATGACCACATCTCCAAACCCAGTGACTTCCTGCTCTCCATCCCTTCATACAGTTTCAACCACTTTTCAAACCTCTGTCTGATAAACTCTTCTCTCTCTCTCTCTTTCTCTCTCTCTCTCTCTCTCTGTACAGCCTTCAACAAACACCTTATCGCAGTCACCACTGCACAGACAGAGCATGGAGGCCAAGGCGAGTCCTGCAGCAGCCCCCAGCTCTGACACCCCGTCACAGGGCAGCAGGGCCCAGCCGGAACCTGACCCCTCAAACTCCCAGCTGGAAGATCTACAGAGTCAGATGAAGGAGCTGCTGATGACTGTGGACCTGCTCAAGGTCCAGCATATGTAAGTACACTCATCACACATGTTAACACGGTTCATGTATGCCATATTAAAAGCAAAAAAAAATAAAAATGGATACAAGCTTGTAGAGATGTTACTCGTGCTTCTGTAACGTGTCCTTTAAAGAACACACTCTGCTTTTTAGGTGGAGTCACAGGAGAAACTGTAGGAACAGAAAATATGACCGAAGTAACAAAGCTTCTTATGAGCCGCAGATTTGTAAAGTTAGATCATGTGTTGTACCTTTTTATAGATGCTGCAGGCCTGAACATCAGCTGATGAGTGTGTATTTCTGTGTGTGTATCTGTCCAGGAAAGAGATAGCAGAGCTCCGAGGGGAGCTGGATGAGGAGAGGCTAAAGCGCATGGCCCTGCAGGTAATATTGATCCCCTTACATGCTGAGCTGTCCACATTCATTACCTTCATGTGGTTGGCTAAATATTGACAACAACACTTTAATACACAGGAGTTACACAATGCATAACAACTTCCTTCCTCACTGATGTGTAGCACTGAGATGCTAACCTCTTAAATACTACACAAATGATTTAAAAAAACACAACCTGGTGAATGGTGATTGATTTAACATGTCATTGGTTAGTTTACTAGTAGGAGTAAGTTACCCTGCAGTACCAGAGAACAGGAGCTCATACTGTACACATGAATCTCTAAACAACATGCTGCTGCTGCTTCTTCAGAAGTGTTCAGAGCTTTTTGTCACTTGTGAATTAAGTAAAGAAGAGATCACGCCCCGTGTCCCCCAGGCTAACAGAGAGACCATCCAGCATGTTCACACATACATTCAATCTTAGATTGTTCAGAGACAACAAGACTGCCAACTCACAGACACTACAACAGCATGGCTCCTTAGTAAGAGTCAAGCTGCTAAACTGGTCTTCCTTTTAAATTATAATAATAATTTATGAGTTAATGTTATAGGTGTAAAAAAGCTTGATATAGTCAGCATCAGAAGAGCGTAACAAAGCTACCGTTTCTTTTGTATACTCGACTACATTTAAAGCTGCACTGTGGTCGAGCTCTCTCCAGCGTGGCTTGAACTTCCTTTCACTTCTTTTTTTTTCTCATTCTCTTTAAAATGTTGCACATTAAACCTTTAAATATGGGGCTTCTATTTTTGTTTTATTTAGGAAAAGCACTGTCTTCACATTCACAATTTCACATAACTGCAAGACTCCTCTCTCAAACTTTCAAACATTTGAGCATTTCTTTTTTATCAGAAAGAGGTTGGTATGAGGCTCGCAGTATATTTAACAATTTACCTCTTCCAAAGATTTCAAGTAACATGACCAATATTATTTACAAAAGAAAACATGACGCCTTCACCTTGGAGGGATAGAGAAAGAAAATATGGAAATATCACCCTCTAATAAGTCAAATAAAGTCTGGTCTTATAGGAGGGGCTTCCATTTTTTTATATCCAAACATTGTGTTTTTATCTAAATCTTTTTAACTAATTTAGAAACTGCATAGTGAGAGAGTGGTTATTGTGATCGGTGGTGTTACCTGATAGAGGTTGTACACACTACGTGGGGGTCTGACCTCTTTGGATGTCACATGTCCTGCTTCCTGTTGGTAACTCTTTTTGATAGTAGAATTACTTCAAGGGATATTTCACCCATTTGCATTAATCTTTGTATCATTAGAAACCTGGTAGTATCTTTGAATGGTCGTGCATCTCGCCCTCATTTTCCCCTGAGATGTAAAATCTTTGTATTTCTAAGTCTGAAAAGGAGCTTCAAGTGACCCAAAATGATGATTTTTGCATCACTGGAAGCTGTTGTGGTTAGCGGGGTGAAACTACAACGCTAGTTCCTCATATTTTCAACCACTGAAGCTACAGACCAATCACAGATCAGTGGGTGGGAACTCACTCCCAGAATTGAAACTTAACGTCCGCCATATTGCTTTGAAGCTATGGTAACAGTCTCTGTGGAGAAAGCTGATAATGGAGAAAAAAAGTATGTTTCAACTTCAAAGTGATATGGATGAAGGGGATTTTGGTTGTGTTCTTTGCTGGTTTTTCTATTTAAATGAGTTACTTCTGGTTTAAAGAAAAATAAGATATATTTGTGGTGGGTTTAAAAATAAATATATATCACAAAGTTTTAAGTAAGTTGTTGGTTGTAATACAGACTGGCACCCCAAAATACATTAAAAGCTCAAATATAAGTTTAACTTTGCTGAATGCTGGGCTTATGGAGGATTCATGTTGGGTCTTTATAAATATGATATACAGTGTAGACCTGCTCTGATCATTTGTGTTATGATTGGTTTATATATTGAAACTCCCTGCTGTGTTTGAATAAAAGCTTTTTGTGTCTTTTCAGATGGAGATAGAAAAACTAAAGCGGACCGTCCACTCGACGTGAGGCCCCCCGCACACCAATCAACAGCGAGCCTGGAGGTCAGCTGCTGGCCTGTCAATCAGCCAGAGAGCAGGAGGGCGGTGCTGCAGACGGAGACGTTAATGGATGGAGAGAGAGGGGTGGGGGAATGGGATGAACCACCTTAAAGCACAATCCTGTTCACTGATCTTCAAACTCTCCTAATATTTGTAAAATTTACATTTTGCACATATAATTTTTTTTTCAAGCTCGATGTAATTTAGTCACAGATGTATATGTTTTCTCTTTTAGTTGATTTTTGCCAACAAACTTGAGGCCTTACTTCAAACTCTTGTGCTGGACTGTGCCCCAGCTCTCTACCCTTCACTCGGGCGTTCATTGAACCCTGGAGGGGGGGAAACTCGCTCTCTGTACTACTGACTTTGTATAAAGCAGGGGACATTCACTTTCCTCACTTCACTCTTTCCTCGTTTATATGATGCACAAATCTTTGAGTTATTTTTTAAAACGTTTAATTTCATTTAACATCTTCTGAAATCCTTTTGGTTCTGTGTGCTCCTGTCAGCGGTGTCTTTGTCTTTTTTATGGTTTCTTGCATTCCTATCCAGGGTAACACTACTGTGCCTGTTATAATCCTAATGATGTAAGGTGTTTGTAATGGGAGATTACACATACCATGACGGTGTCTGGAAATGTCGCAGCATGATATTGTATATCTATATTTTTAAGTCTACTGACATGCCTAGTCAAATACTAAACAGAGGGCCTCTCGGAGGAGGTCACTATATTCTATTTTTGTCAAAGTGTTTTACTCTCTGGGAATGTTCTCAGAAATGAAGCTGATGATTTTTACTCTTCAGGTGACGCAGGTGGAGTCCGCATGCAAAAAAAAAACTAAGAGAGATTGCATTGTTTCTTGATGGAGGTTGCTGACCAACACATGGGCATGTTTATACAAACAGATGCCTTCCTATGATCATCTCTGCAACCTGCTTCTCTTCTCTTGTTTTAATCTGGCAGAAAAAAAACCTCTTTACACCGATCTGAGCCCGTTCTACCTCTCCTCCTCTTCTTTCTGCTTTTATTCAAAATGTCTTCTATGATGTGAGTGTGCTTTTGCTCTGTGATGTGATGTAGTTCACACGAGGAGAGAAATGAACGCCCATTCTCTCTATTCTAATTGTTTCAGAAGCAATGAATTACAAGCCCCATGTGTTCAATGTTGATGTGAATATATAATACTTCAAAGTTCAAGAAGTCAGACACTCCTGGTGTGAATCAGTGCGGCCTGTGAGTGTGTTGTGTCTGCCAGTGGATGGCGTGCTTCAGCACACTGACAACATTGAAGTGTGTTTAATGATATCGTCATGAAATGCTTTCATTGTCCACAGAAGAGAACATGTGCTTAATGTTTTTTAAAATGTAAACAAACAACTTAATGATTTCGTCACCCAATGAAATTCTTCCTAACACTTCATCTGGTTCATCTCAAGCTTCATGTTTACTCGAGTACACGAGGTGAGCATCACTTCAGACTTCCAGCTGGTGTGAGCTCCCTCCTTCACACTCTACTGTACGTCACCTCATACCTCCATCCCTACTCACATTCCCTTCAGCCTCACCTGGACTTAGTGGAAGTTGGAAATATTCAACTGTGTGGGTGACTCAAAATAAACAACGACTCAAGAAATGCACCAGCATCTTAAATGTTGCTTCACAATGCTTGAACTTTGAGGCTGAAGACGTTAATCACAAGATACTTGTGATATTTAAAAAAAGATCTGCTAACACGTCATGTTTCTGTATGAACATAAAAATATGTTCCCCCCCTCAGCTCTGACCAAGATGCATGCTCAGTCAGACATTTTATTCTTGTCGAATATATAAGTGCCCCCTGCAATTAGGAAAAATTGTGCAAAACATATCTTTGGAGCATATTAACCTCTGGCTCCACGTAACCCTCACAGAGCTGCTAGCTGATCTTAAGCCGTGTTTAAAAACCACCGCCCAGAGAGTCCTAAGTGTTATAACACCTAGGAGGCTTTAAAGGATCCTGAGTAACAAACGAAGGAAACGGGGTCGCCTGGATACTTTACATTGTTGTTGTTTCTGAAAAGCATCTCAGCGTTTGGAGAACAAATCGTGCCCTCCAGTTAATGATCTTTTCTAATCCTCGGGCAGATGGATTCTTCTTCCTGTCGGGGGGGGGGGGTTCAGAGATGTGGAGGATGAGCTCCCCTCAGCCGCTTCTAAACTGTAGCCCTGAGCTCCCAGTGTACCGTGTGCTTTCTTCTTATCTCATGCTCACATACTTTAGAGAAACTGAAACCAGTAAAGCCTAACGCTCACGCTCTCCAGCCTCTGAACGGCTACATGTTAGGAATGCTTCAGTCAGAATATTCACAGCCTAAATGTCCAATTTGTAAATGTAAAACATCTCTTACTGTGTGTTACAAAAAGAGTACATGTCTGTTTTATTTTGAAAATCTCTCTACATATCTCACAGATGTCTTAAGTCTCAAGAAGTGTGTCTTTGATTTGAAATCGTCCTCAGGCTTCGTTGCTTGTGTTCGATGTGTGTGTGTGTGACTCTTAAGAGTGTCGATGAGGATCATCAGGTTCAGACTGTCTGAACTTAAACAGCTCACCGCACTATCATGCAATATTTTGATACCTGAGCATAACTTCCTTTCTTAGCACAGCAGCTCAGAAACAGCTGGGCACAATGTGGGAGAGAGAGGGGTGTGTCCAGGGGGGGGATTTGGGTGACAGCTCTTTATGTAATACCTGTAACATGGCTTTACTTCCATATTTTGTACATTCCAGAGTTTGGCACCAAGAAAAGAAATCTGTGCACATTTATAACAATTTTGTTTACAAGAGCTGTATCCTTGCATGAGCTGAGATTCTTCTAAAGAGTAAAAAAATAAATATCTTTATTCAGTGTCCAAGCCTCTCTTTCTTTTTGTCTTCAGAGCGACACAACCATGATGAAGTATTGACTCAGTATTGAAGGTGAAGCTTCAGTAGTTGGATTAGCCCTTGGACATTTATTCTATTATGTAGCAGGCTTCTATCTGTTGTGCATTGTACTGTGATGAAGCTGGAGGTAAGCTGGGAAACAAAGCTTGATTAAACTATAGTCCATGTTCCAATCTTTCCGGCCGTGGACAAAAGAAGATAGATCAGTGACACGGGCAGCTGAAATGAGCTTTCTGCCTCACAGAGGGTGAAGTGCTCAAACCCCCAGAGAAGAGCTGCTGCTCTTTATATTAACATAAGTCAGTCGAGGTGCTTCAGGTTTAGTGACTGGCAATCCAACTGGGAGGAGACGGCAAGATGGAGATATTATTATTTCAAATGATGTCACTGTGGAAAAGGATCTTAGCGCCATGCTGCTCGGCCAGCAGCAGAAAATAACAACTCTCTTTCTTTGTACATGTGTTTGATATCTTAATCTCCTTCACAACCACTTCTCTAAATAGTAAATAAACTGGGCTTAGGGAGCACCTGGTACTTTACAGTACACGCTATTTACCCCATTTCTTCACATTCAAGCTCTGGAGGCTGCATGCAGAACTTCACATCATGGCCTCATTTTGGGGCGTTTTGTGCCTTTATTAGAGAGGACAGTGGGTAGAGTCGGAAATCAGAGAGAGAGTGGGGAATGACGTGGGAAAGGGGGTCGCATTTGTTCACTCCTTTGTGCAAACGTGAGGGGAGGGGGGCTGGAGGTCGCTGGAGGAGAGTGGAGGCTTCAGTATGGAGGAGGTGTGGCCAAACCGGAAGTTTGTTTTGGTTTCATGCTGGAGCTCAAAGGCGACATCTACTGGATCAAACAGGAGCACATTCTTCCTTTAAACGGTTGCACTGTTTTAGTTGATATAGCTGATATTAGGCTATTTTCAGAACAATCATGAACACATTTGCATATGACATGCAGTGAAAACATGTAAACATATATCCATGTCTACACAGGCATGGATATATACTTCTGGTATTTCATCCTAAGCATTAATAAAAGTCGAATGTTGTGACTGTGAGCCAAAAAGGGAGCGTGCAGAGGCTGAACGCGGCCCTCCTTCCTGCACCTCCAAAGAGAAACGTGTTGTTTTCGAGTTAGATAATTGAGAGATACTGCATTGTTCTGTCCTGATGATGTTTTATATTATGATATTTCTTTTATTTAAACCCTTTCTCCTGTTTTTCTCTTAAGCAGTTCAGCTAGATGTCTGTATTTCTTTTTCTTTTCTTTTAGTTTTCTCTTAGATGTTGTTTGTGATTTTTTGGCCGCTGCTCTCCCTGAAGTTGGATTAGTTTTATAAATATAGTTAATAAATGAATGATTGTGGACTGAACATTGGTTTGGTCACTGGGAGTGAGGAAGGAGAGGGTCTCTTTTATTCTACGGCTGGTTTCCACTATAGGCTGGTCACAGAATACAAAAATAAAAAAGGAGATGGACTACTAATAAATGGATGGACTTGGTAAATGGACTTGACCTTATTTATTTCTTTTCTAGTCTTCAGACTACTCAAAGCTCTGTTACACCACAGGTCACACCTACACAGATAAAAAGTCATGTTCTTGGCTCTTTTAGATTCATTTTCAAACTGGTGAGTGATGCCGGCCTCAAGGCCATCACAGTGATGTAGAAGCTCTTACATTAGTTTCAGCTGGCTCTAAAAAGCTGACTGTTTAACTTGAAAGTATTCATTTGTTTGAGCCATGTCTGGATCACCTTTCTCACTAAAGTTAGATAACATCCAACATGATGTAAGTCTGGATCAAAGTGAAACAGTGGAGTCCATCCGAGCCTGAATCACAACCTGCAGATTTATTTAAGAAAATCTGTCCAGGTGGAAAAGGTGAGTGTTTTTATTTGTCCTGCTTCAAACAGCTGGATGAAAAAAGGATATAGATGTTTAGTCTCATCCTCTTTCACTTGAGGTAGAAGCCATACATTTAATTTAGTTTCATCTGCTGCAGGATGATGTAAGCTTTTTATAAAGCTGCTCCTCTCTTTATCATGCAGCCTTTTCACCTTGAATGTGTTTATAGGCTCAGCCAGAAGGTAAAGTAAAGTACAGCTGAGTTTGCTCTACATTGAAAACATTGATAAACATTTTAAACCACAGCAGGAGAGGAAACATGTCTTTCAGGTATTCACTTCAAATTCATTTAAAAACAAACAATTTATAAAATCATGAAAACAAACAATGAAGTAATGAAACTGAAGAAAAGTCTGAGTCCTGTTGACTCCTATTTATTTCTAATTTAACATCTACACAGATTACAACTCTTAAAATGTATCAGTGATACAGATTCAGCAGAGGATTCGTCTGAAAATGACTTAGACATTACTTCAGTGTTTGGTCAAATACAAGTCATATATAAAAATAATTCATTTAATCTGGGATACCGAAAAAATATATATTTTTTGTGTTAAGGGCTGCACGTGGTGTAGAGGTAGTGAGGAGGTTCCTGGTTTGAATCCCCATCTGACAAGAGCCTCTCTGTGTGGAGTTTGGATGTTCTCCCCGTGCATGTGTGGGTTCTACTCCCACAGTCCAAACACATGCTCGTTAGGTTAACTGCTGACTCTAAATTGCCCGTAGGTGTGAATGTGAGTGTGGCTGGTTGTCTGTCTCTATATGTCAGCCCTGTGATAGGCTGTTGAACAGTCCGGGTGAAACCCCGCCTCTCACCCAATGACAGTTGGGATCGGCTCCAGACCCGCAACCCCAAACAGGAAAACCACTGCACCACCTTGAAGCCAATATATTATAAATAATATATAGGTATATATTAATATGGCAAGCCGTTCAGGAAATTAATATATTGAATCAAACTTTGAATATATGGAATGAAGTCTGAATATATTGAATGAAACTTTGAATATATTGAATGAAACGTTGAATATATTGAATGAAGTCTGAATATATTGAATGAAATGTTGAATATATTGAATGAAATGTTGAATATATGGAATGAAACTTTGAATATATTGAATGAAGTCTGAATATATTGAATGAAACTTTGAATATATTGAATGAAGTCTGAATATATTGAATGAAACTTTGAATATATTGAATGAAACCTTGAATATATTTAATTAAACTTATATTGAATGGAAGCTGATATCACATCTCTCTATCCACCAGTTTCATTGTTGTCATCAAAAAGACACCCTGCTGAATTTGCTTGTTTTACAAGATGAATCAGCTGAAATATACCAATACTTTGCAGAACTTCAAAACTTCTTTGAAACAGCTGGTTGTACTCAAAATGATATGAATAATTTAGAATGTAGATTGCGTCACCTTGAAGATCATAGTTCAATTATTGGAACATTTTTACTGCTTATGAGTAGTAATGCTCAACAAAACATTGCTGAGCGCACCTTGTGCATCCTTCTTGAGGGGATTTTTGAGTCTCTTATGGAGATGTCAGCTGAAATAACACTACAAATAGAAGCTACAGCACGAGGTGAAGGGACACATTCTGCATCTCAGAGAGGAAGACCAAGGTAAGCGATAAAAAAAAAGAAAACAAGTAGGCCTAAGGGATTGAAGGTTTATGTAGACCAAAAATGCAAAATCTCAATTCAGTTATTGATACAGTCAAGAAGTTGCAAAATGCTTAGGAAATGTATTATACCATGTAGATGAAAGTATGTGTTTTTTGTCCTGTTTTTATCGTTTAAGGTACGACATATCAGCTGTTCAGCTGACTGACATGCAGGATTTAGGATTTAGCTGGACAGCAATATCCCGAATGCTGTCTGTAAACATTCGAACACTGTTCAACCACAGGCAACAACTTGGTTTAGTGGACTATGGCAATTTTACCAACATTTCAAATGATGATCTTGATCGTTTTATTACTGAGGTACTTAGACAAACCCCTGGCTCAGGAGAGACATACGTAACTGGCAGTTTGAGAGGGAGAGGGATCAGAGTTCAGCGATGGAGAGTGCGAGAACGTTTGAGTACAGCTGATCCAGTGGGACTAGCTTTAAGAAGACGAAGGGCAATTCAACGGAGGGTCTACAATGTCACTGTCCCAAATCAAGTTTGGTAGGTGTACTTTTCAAAACAGCAGTAACATTACAATCATTATTCCATAGCTTCTGATTCAAACATGACATAAGGACAGCTGTAAGGATTTAGACAGACCATAACCCTTTAAAATACACTCTTGGTAATTGTTTTTATAGGTTAAATCATTTATAATATATGTGAAGCAAACATGGACATTTGACAAGTTATGAAATTAAATATGAAAGAATCCTTATCAATGTTAAGATGAATTTATGCATTTTTTATGTTTCTTTAATTGCATCATTCTATAATGTTGTATCATATTGAAGGCTTCTATCAACAAAACCCTGAATATTACAATTAAATAATCAATTAAAAAGCAGGCCTCTTGATTGAAAAAGTAGGCCAACAAAGCTACATTTTTCACCTACATCCTTTTTCCTCATATTATGATTATTATTATCATGTAAAAAAAAATCATAATATTTGTCTTGTTTTTCCAGGCATATTGACACAAACCACAAGCTAAATCCATGGGGACATATAGTCATTGTATTACCTACCTTAGATGTTGCACAGACAACAGAGCATTGGCTGCCTTGCAACTTTTCCAGGGTGCGGTTGAGCTATATGGACTCCCACATCATGTCAGGAGTGATGCTGGTAGGGAGAATATTGACATTGCTAGGTTTATGATTGAGAATCGAGGGGCCAACAGAGGAAGTTTTATGGTCGGGCGTAGTGTTCATAATCAAAGAATTTAAAGGTTTTGGGGAGAACTCAACCGGGTAGTATCAGCATACTATAAAGACCTTTTCCTCTTAATGGAAAATGTTGCAATTTTGGATAGCACTGACCCAGTTCACATTTTGGCTCTTCATTATGTATTCCTACCAAGAATAA